TTTGCAATGAACATTTCTGCTCTGCCAATTGTTAAGCCTGGACATGGAAGAGCAAAACATTCCCCAGTTAATGAAATGGAATCCACACTTGGTTTCAAAAGTTATCCGAATGGATTAACTGGTTTTTCTCATTGCTAAATTTATTGTGGTTAGACATAATTTTGAAATTACATTTTGTGTTTATAACAAAGAAGAACTTAATTTTTGTCTTTGACATTCATTTGCCCAGCTGTGATGTAAGATTTTTGATATACATATCTTTTTAATGTAATTTATTTCAGATTTTGGACTTGGAACTAGCAGCAAGTGGGTTTTGGTCTTTGTGTTCAAAAGAGTTTAACAATTAACTTGTCAGCATTTCTGGGGTCATGACTTTGTTTAAAACTAATGTGAGGGAAGGAGTACCTGGGGTGATAATGAGAGTTTGTTTGTATTGGAAAACTTTTTTTGAGCGTGGTGAGCATTGAGGAGACTTGTCTCATTTTCTGATTAAAAGATTCGGGTATTATTTTATACCTGCTGGGGAGACCCTACAGGCTGGTATTTCTTTTTTGTTCACTTCAGAGTTCCTGATTGAAGATAAATGTACAAAACCATTTCTACTAAAGAAAGTAGTCAGTTTAGAACTGTCACAGCATAGGTTACCTCAGTGTAAGGAGTTTAGTGTGAAAATTCAGGGTTTGTTTGAAATTGAGAAAGTCTAAGCTCAATTGCATGACTAATCAAGGAAGAGGTTACCAAACTTAAGTCTGGAAATTGAAAGGAATAGTTAAGCTATTTCTATAGATGTGACAGAGAAGCAGATTCTGTCTGGTGTTTGAGTACTGTGAAATTTTTGTTTTCAGATAGTAAAAATGCAGTTTCAACTATGTGGTTCAAAATCTTTCCAATTGTGTATGTGTAAATTGCTTGTTTCATTCTATTTTATTGTCTTTTTGTGTAATTATATGATGTTGAAACAAATTTACAGCTTTGTATGTTTATGTTTTAGTGAAAAAGACCACCTTATTAATTTAAATAAAAGTCTATTTAGCCCGATTTCAGTCTGGGATCTGACTTGATCAGTAATAACAGTAGTAGGGATTCTAACACAGTACTTAACTGAAGTGCTAATGTATTAGTTTAAGTTAGCTCTTGTTAAAGTTGCATGCAATTGTTGCTAAGTCCACTGCTTTTTGTCATTTATTATATAAATGATTTGGATGTGAACATTGGAAGTATGGTTATAAATTTGCAGATGATGCCAAAATTGGTGGCACAGTGGACAGTGAAGAAAGTTGCCTCAGCACAACAAGACCTTGATCAAATGGGCCGATGGGCCGAGGAGTGGCAGATGGAGTTTAAACGAGATAAATGTGAGGTGCTACATATTGTTAGACCAAATCAGGTCAGGACTTAAACACTCAAGTGTAAGGTCCTGAGGAATGTTGCCGAACAAAGAGACCTTGGGATGCAGGTAGACAGGATAATGAAGAAGGCATTTGGTATGCTTGCCTTTATTGGTCAATGCATTGAGTAAATGAGTTGGGAGGTCATGTTGTGGTTGTACAGGACATTGGTTGGGCCACTTTTGGAATACTATGTTCAATTCTGATGTACTTGCTAAAGGAAAGATGTTGTTAAACTTGAAAGGATTCAGAAAAGATTTACAAGTATTTTGAGAGTGTTGGAGGGTTTGACCTATAGGGAGAGGCTGAATAGGTTGGGGCTATTTTCCCTGGAGTGTCGGAGGCTAAGGAGTGACTTTATAGACGTTTATAAAATCATGAGGAGCATGGATAGGGTGAATAGCAAAGGTCTTTTCCCAGGGTAGGGGAGTCCAAATCTATAGGGTATACGTTTAAGATGAGATGGTAAAGATTTAAAAGAGACCTAAGGGACAACTTTTTCATGCAGAGGATGGTTCATGTATGGAATGAACTGCCAGAGGAAGTGGTGGAGGCTGGTACAATTACAACAGTTAAAAGGCATTTGGATGGATATATGAATAAGAAGGGTTTAGAGGGATATGGGCCAAATGCTGGCAAATGGGACTAGATTAATTTAGGATGTCTGGATGAGTTTGACCATAAGGTCTGTTTCTGTGCTGTACATCTCTATGACTCTATAAATGTTAACCATTTGTCTGCTAGTATTAATGACAATAATTTCAAGGCCCTCAAGTCTCACTACCCAGAAATAATTTTCTTGGTGATTTAATACACAGTAAGACCAGTAGACCATGATATCTATAGAGTTTTTGATAGATTTCACTTTCTGACCTCATTGAAACAATGACTTCACCCCATCATCCTACATCAATTCAGACAAGAAAGTGTACAGATGCAAGGAAATGTGCTTCAGATATGGGCTGTCTTGTGGTGCCACCTTCTAGATGATGCAACCAGCTGGAATTGTCCTCTGCGATCAGGCATTTCATTAGATAACCATCACATGACAAGCTTAGGTTGATGCAGCATGTGATGAATTGGGAAATTTCTAACAGGAGAGTTTCAGCTTTTGTACTCCCAGTTGCTGTTGATCTCATGTTAATGAGTGATTTACCTTTACTACACAATATGTTTACTTCTGAGCTGCTGTTCAGAAATGAAATCAATGTTGACTGATTCAGTAACAATCTGTGTTATGAATGTGTTTCGTGTGAGTACGAGACAGACAGTTAAGATTCAGAATTTAGATTTTAAATAAAAGATTGTAGTCAGCTTATAGGGATGGAAGGATCTTACCCTGGAAAATATAGGAAGATGGCTGGACTTATATGAAGGAGGCTCGAAGATCGAGTCAGAAACTTTTGTGACCCAAGAGATACTTTTAAATTTGAAACGGTCCCCTACCAGCAAATTTCTGCAACATGTGGGCAGGAGTGGAATGGAGTTGGGTGTATCACCTCTGTGGGCAGGCCAAAAGTGGCAATGTAGCCAGGTAGATCGCTGGGTTGGAATGAGAGATCTCTGTTCACTGGGACATTGGCCAAGTTTTACTTATGCATAGCAGGCCCTCAGACCCTTACCCTTCATACTTGCATGCTCCCTCATACTCCATCTTCCATCTCTCTCTCTATTTCTCTTTAAAATCTAAGAAAACGTCTGATGTCTGAATTAGACATTTAAAATCAATAACCTTCAAACAATCTAATTTAAAAACATAATGCTATTAAAAAGAACTCTTCTTCAAAATGGCCTTCCAAAAAAAAAATGCCGTCAAATGGCCATTCTGTCGTAAATGCCAACACTGTTTTCCTAGTCCCATAAAAGTGGTTTAACCTTTTAGTCTTTCTCAACTTTCAAGCCAAATGTCTATACAGTCCCTGCTGAGATAAGTGGACCTTTTGAAATTTAATCGAGCATTCATAATAGGCACAGTTGTCATTAAAAATCTATTCCAGATCACACATCATTCACTGTCACAAACATTGGTGCTTATTGAAATTGCAAAAGCTGATGGTTATTTATCTTTAAAGTACTTCAGGTGATCTACCAAACAGAGATCCGGTAGAGATCTTTGTTTTCTCTCTACTTATAGCTGATGAAGGCTAATTCTATTTTGAAAGGACTCTGAGAATTTAAAGCATTTTAGATTATCCCAGTTACTAAATTTAAAAAAAAATGCATCTCACTTGCAGTACAGCACCTATTCATTCAAACTGAAAGAACACTGTTTGTATTTTTAACCTCTGTCACTGTGAGAACTCCAGGAGCAGGTGACTTTTTTTGGTCCTTACTCAGGTCTGGGGTTCCTCACGGTTTACATCTCCTCTGTGGACAAGCTGTGAACCAGATCTGTTTCCATAAGGGCTTTAACGCCATTAAGAGTGTGGGATGGGGGTGTTTAAACTTTCCACAAATGTGAGTGCTGTGTCCATATGCTGCCCGCATATTAGTCCTGTGCTCAGAATGGGGACAGGAATTCTGGAACCTTGTCCCAGCTACCATTTTTAAAGGGCTGTCAAGTTGTCCTGTCTCAGCAAAATCCATAGATTCTGGTCTGGCATAGATCAGCTAATCCAATTTCTTGATTTTCTAATCGCTGAAGCAGTTTGGTGCTGGTTTTAGTTCTCAGAGTATATCAATTAGTGAGCTTAAAACAGTGCACAAATTGTTGCAACAGAAGTTGTCTGAACTAAACAAGGGACCTTGGAAAAGTAAGCAGTGCTCAAGAGTCCAGCAGCATGACACAGAACAGGAAGAAGTCAAGTTCCATGTACCATAACAAATTAACAGATTCCTGCACTCATTTAGAAGCTGATGTATGAAGTATAATTGATCTTTTACTAATTCTTGTTGTATTCATGTATAACACTAACACAAGTTGATTACTGTGCTTCATACTGCTGCCTTTGTAAATTAAGATACTAGTTATTTTCGTCTCTACAACTCCAGTTATATTTGCTATTTCAAAAATGGTGTAGATTTGTGCTGCAGTACCAAATTAAATCTAGTAGTCAGATGATTAGGAGTAATTGTTAGCTTCTTTGGGTATGCAATGCTTTGAATGCAGGGGACAGAAAATATTCCATTTACATGAACTACACAAGAAAGCTGTACTAAAAAGTGTCAACTATTTAGCATCTATAATATACAAATAAATGTATATTCTAAACAGGACGGTACAGTTGTGCTCAGTAAGGAAATATTTTCTTTGTGGCTTTGCCTTCCGAGCTGAAAAAAAGGTTGTTTATTTAAAAGTTCTCACATTGGTGATATTCAAAATCAAGTCAGTTAATGCTGTCATAATGTCATATAGTCACATGATGCAATTCGCTTGTTGTGATTGGGTAATTTCACTTGCTGTAAAATGTCAAATTACATCAAGAGTTTTGTCAATTACCTGTCTTTTCTCCTGAGTTGTGATTGGTTTACTTCATGACATAATTGTAATAATTTTTTTAAATGCATTTTTTTGGTCAGCTATCTGTAAGTGCATTTTTTGATATTTTAAAAGCACCTTAACTGATAGTTGTTTTAAATTCTGGCCTAACCATCTTTTTTGATCATTTACAGCACCATCCAAAGAAGATGAGTAAAGGGCCTACTCTCCTCTCATGTGGAATCATGGGTAAGTTAATGAAATAGACATTACGTATGCCAGTAATGATCTCCTAGGACACAATACTAAGGACGCTGATATTTTTTTAATAAGATTTATTAGGGAGGCTAATTCCACAGATTTAGGATTGTGCACATGGTGTTTTCTCTGGAGTTTAGTCAGCTTTCGCAGTTGTTGATAAGGGAAGTTTTTATGGACATAAGTTCCAAAAGCAATATTCTGATGCTGAAAAGAAATGATCAAGCCCTTTTTAAAAGCTTGGAATCATAGCTCTAAAACTTGTTATCTAATGGAATATGTAATATATTACAATTACTTTGAGACACACACTGCTTTAGATCTTTTCAAAACCTCAGTGTCAATGTGGAAAGTGTCATGGGGGGTTTCGAAACTGTAGAATAAATTTGTCAGTCTTGTACTTCCAGAATTGAGCTGTGCTTGGGGTGGGGGTGGAAATGTGAATCAGAATTAGTTTTATAGTATTGCAGCCCTGACTTTGAATTGTTACTTTCAAATTGAGGTGGCTGTTGAGAGCTCAGAGTCTCTAAAAATGCCATTCGGTGATGGTAGGCCCCAGAGGGAGATCCAGTCCATGATGTAAACCCACCTCCTCCTATTTCCCAATGAAACAATTAAGATAGGGCTTTATAATCCTGTCGGTTAGGTAAGTAATCTGATTTTAGTAACGTAAATGCAGGGAGCTGTTTGTGTAAGTTTGTTTTCCTGTATAAAATCAGAGCCTAGCATTTCACAGAGACTAGCTCCACACCTGGGTCTAAAAATGGAAAAGAGGTGCAGCATAATTGCTTTCCTGAAACTGGATGCAACATAACCTCTAAATGTAAAACCACTGTGTTGAAAGGAACAAAGGGTGTAACTATCTCATCCCTGTAATTGAATGGGAAGAGGAACTTGCACCTAATTAGTTTAAAAGTCATGGGATTTCTTCAGACACATAATGGTTCTCTTGACAGTTGTGTGCATCTAGCATTATCTAAGCTCATCAACTGCAAAGCGTAAACTATTGACTGTGTTCCTAACTATCTTATGCGCTGCTGGAATAGCAATCAAATCAGCAAACTCTGAGCTAATGTGAAAATAGGTCAATGGCCCAGATATTCCAATCAGTGTCAGAAATACTATTTCTGACCTTTTAATCAGATTAAAAATGACCCACTTGCCTTCAGATATCTTCTGCGCTGGACAGGGGCCTCCTTTTGCAAACCTGTTCAGTAAATGACAAATCCAGTAGTAAGGAGAATTACTGTGGAATCTGTGCCCCCTTTTTACAGCAGTCACCGTGGCATGTACCATGATTTTAAATGTCCAGCAGCACAGCCAGACACTTTGGCACATTTTGTGAAAAGGTAAGTATGTAAGATAAGCATGGGGTAGTGTGCCAGCTGGGTAAGGTTGGTAGCTTATCAGGTGGGTAGGGTGCTAAGATGCCATGTACGTGAATGAGTGCTTGGAGAAGGTTGGGGTGGGGTAGGTGATGGTGCTACTGGTGTCAGCTCCAACATTTGGGAAGTGGGTGCTGGATGAAGTCAAGCCAGCGTTTGAAAGTTATTGCTTCACCTCATGTTGCACCATTCCTGGTCAGGAAAATAAAATGACAAATTGAGAATGGGGAAGAAGCTCCAAGATGGCAGCAACTTAGACCTACTTCCTCTGTCAGTCATGGACAGCAGAAAAGATTTAAAAATCAGCTTGTCCCAACAATAGTCCCTTTGAATGATGTTTTCTTTAAACTATGTGTTTCATTAGTTTATTAGTGATACCCTTTTGAGGAAGGAACACTTAACCCCTATTAACTGGTTGAAGCAACACATTGGTTAGAGAAGTATTCTCAGAAATTTTGTTTATAACTTAATTAAATTGTTTCAAAAATGTAACTTTATTTTAGAAAAGAAATTAAATTTGCATGAAAATTGAAGCCTTGTTTCAAGGAGTGTGACAGTGGCTGAATTTTCTGCAATGTTTGAGGCTCCCACTGTGTGTACACAGGCAATCCTGATAATATTCAGTTTTTAAAATAGGCTGTGTGCTTCCATACTACAGCTGCAGTTGTATTGTCACAAAGAAACAGAATGGATTCCCATGTTTAAGTTAAATCCTTGTTGTAATGCCTTCTGAAATCCCAGCCTCTTCTATGTATTATTGTATAAAGAAAAGTGGGAGAAGATGGAGTGATTTTACCTTCTGTCAGATAACCAGGTCAATGATGCAATGTAAAATTGGTAAATTTGAGAGTCTGTCCCCGTGTCTGCGTGGGTTTCCTCCGGGTGCTCCGGTTTCCTCCCACAGTCCAAAGATGTGCAGGTCAGGTGGATGGGCCGTGCTAAATTGCCCGTAGTGTTCAAGGGATGCCTAGATTAGGGGGATTAAAGGGGGATGGGTCTGGGTGGGATGCTCTGAGGGTCGGTGTGGACTTGTTGGGCCGAAGGGCCTGTTTCCACACTGTAGGGATTCTATGATCTATGATTGAATCAGAGATAGTAGGAACTGCAGATGCTGGAGAATCCGAGACAACAAGGTGCAGGGCTGGATGAACACAGCAGGCCAAGCAGCAT